AAAGAAGCATGCTATAAAAACAGTATATTTACTTGAGGTCTAGAATGCAGTTTTCTTCTTAGCAACTCATCATCTTGTCATATTTTATGTAACCATTGCACAGAGTAAAACTAACCCTTGGGAGCAGAGGCTGATGGATTTCTTGAGATCAAGGTCAACTGAAACTACACAGTGAGACCTGGTCTCAAAAATACAAAATTATATTTAAGGAATGGAGATGACAGAAATTCTTTGTTCTAGGGAGACTATTCTCTTGAATGTAAGCCTTGAAAGTTAATAGTGTATCATGGAATTTATCTTTTTCATTGAGAAGATCCTTATAATTATTTGAATGCTTTTATATTGATAAAAGAATCAACCTCTAGATGTTTGACAAAATAAACCTTTTGATTTAATACTTGGATTTGCAGCTGGAGAGATGGCTCAGCTTTTAAGAGAACATACTGTTTTTTTGCAGGAAACTTAAGTTGAATTCCATCACATAAATCACGCAGAGAGACCATGACTCCAAAAAAGAGAACATACCATAGATACTCCTTTCTTTAAGGTTTTTTGAGATAGGCTCTCACTATGCAGCACTAGCTGGCCTGGAACTCACTATGTAGATCTGGATGCCCCTAAATTCACAGATGCTGGACTCCCTAAATCTGTAGACAAGGAAATAATAATAAAAAGTACAGTTGACCATGAAGAGTTAGAAATGGAGGTGCTCTTTATAAGCACTACTATTAGCCAACACCCTTGGTTCCCATTTTTCTGAGCATGAAGACAAAACAAACACAACCAAGACACAAGAGCAAGAAACACTGCTTACCTTCAGTGGACGAGGAGAGCACGGGACTCATTGCTAAAGCTCTGCTTTTCTTTAGCAAGGAAGCATGGGGATTTCACTGAGGGGACACATTTACGTAAAGGTCTACCTATTCCTAAGACTGTTCAGTTAACAAGTCTACTTCTGCACATGGATACAAAGTAAAAGCAGAGATATTTGGGGGTAATCTTAGCTCAAAGTCAAGCAGCAACTTATACACAGTATAAAGATTATAGACAAAACTACTTCTAGAATGTTTAGCTTCTACAAAGCTCCTAGCTGAAATCAAGTAAATGCTACTGTGCAAGTAGATTGCTTAGAAGTCAATACAACCTGTTAATTAAAATATATGCTCTACCAATGCCAAAATTCTCACAAATTTAAAGGACAGAGACTACAAATACAGAAAGTTGGTAGGGGTCATGTAAGAGGTACAGGAAGCAGCTTTGGAATGCATGGAAAATGACCCACAGGTTTGCATGGACATGCTGGATAGCCCTTGGCAGAGCCGAGAACGACACGTCCTGAGGTCCTCATGCTGTTATGAAGCATGGCTCTACCTTCCACTGTAGTCATCATGTCCCTTACAATCTATGAGTTGTATGCAAACTCTAAGCAGGCTTCTCTAACTAGTAACATTGGGCAGTGTTACTAGTACTCACAATAATAGTGACTGACTTTTTTGACAAATTGTTCCTGAGACCGACTAATGATTCAACCACCACACTTAGAAAGAATTTACAAAAGTTGATTGTTAGTAAAGTTATGTTTTTGTTTAAGGTTTTGGTGTAGAAAATCTTGGGGAACAATTTAAAGTTTAGAAAGGCACAGTTTTGTTAGTTGAACGAGGGACACTGAGGTCAGGAAACAAGAACAAAGGCAGTCTGGTTATTACTAGCTGATGTGTCTTTCTTGCTAAAATGGGTGGTGATTAAAGGTGGTGATTAATCTCTTGTACCTATTTTTGCCCTAGACTTCCTGATATGATGTAATAAAAAACTGTTGATGAGTAGGTGTACCCTCTGAGGAATTAAGTTTTTATATATAAAGGTTTGACTTGTGGTTCTTTTAAGACGTTTTGTAAGATACTTTTTAGATAAATAATAAAATAATTGATTCTCTCTTTGTAACCACAAAATGCAGCCTGCCAGTAAAAGAACTGGCTTAGAATACCACCTCACTTGCTTACACTCTGTTAACATGCAACAAGTTGCTCAGACATGAATGTATGTGGGTCTTTGGAAGATTTCTTTTTCATCTATAATTAAAACATTTAATTATGTAAAGGTGCTATGAAATATGTTGTCTTTTATTTCTACTCATTGAAATCATTCACTTGAAGAAAAATAGAACGTAATTGCACTGTAACTGTAACTTTTTTAGTATTTGAAATATTTTGCTGAGGGGTATAAGCTGTGGGGGAAAAAGTAAAGTCAGACCTTGGTGTGGTGAAGGCATGTCTGTGTGTATGTAATAATGTACGTGTGTGTGTGTAATATATGTATGTATGTATGTGTGAGTGTGTGTGTGTGTGTTCTCCTCTTTTGCCAGTGCCATAGAATTAAGTTTTGTTCTCTCACAGAAAAAAAAAAGTCTATTGTGTGATTAGCCAGCAACTCCACACTTCCTCTTCAGTACCTGACCTGCTAAGAGCTGGTCTCTCAGCAGAAGATATCACAGAAAATTTGATGTGGGATTCCCCTCTGTATGCTGTGAATACCATTGGTTAACAAAGAAACTGTCTTGGGCCTGCATATGACAAAATAGAGGTAGGTGGGGAAAACTAAACTGAATGCTGGGAGAAAGAAGGCAGAGTCAGAGAGACACCATGGAGCCACCAGAGGAGAAAGACGCAAGTCGCCAGTGGGAACCTTGCTGGTAGGCCACGAGCCTCATGGTAGAATATAAAATAATAGAAATGGGTTAATTTGGGGCTGGAGAGATGGCTCAGTGGTTAAGAGCATTGCCTGTTCTTCCAAAGGTCCTGAGTTCAATTCCCAGCAACCACATGGTGGCTCACAACCATCTGTAATCAGGTCTGGTGCCCTCTTCTGGTCTGCAGACATACACACAGACAGAATATTGTATACTAAATAAATAAATATATATATTTAAAAAAAAAGAAATGGGTTAATTTAAGAGATAAGAGTGAGTCAGAAGTATGCATAAGCTAATGGGCATAAGCAATGTTGTAATTAATACAACTTCTGTGTGATTATTTCGGTTCTGGGAAGTTGGGAAAAACAAGTGGCCTCTATCAACAAAAATTCACCTTTCAGCTCTGTGGATGCCATTCTGACGTGAATATCTCTGCTGTGCTATTTGATTTGTCTCTGAACAGACTGGCTAAGAGAAAGGTGACAGCAGTGTCCATGCAGGACCAGAAAAAGGACAATTCTAAATAGCCCTGGTAACTGTCTCTTTAATAACCAACACCAGTCTGACCCCTAGTGACCTAGGCTGCACTGGACAGAAAACATAGTCAAGAAAGGACAACATGGGCTGCAGGAATAGCTCAGTAGTTAAGAGAACAAGCTGCTACTTCAGAGCACACCCGCAGGTTCTACGGCCAGGACCCACATGGCAGCTATTCAGGTCTTGCTGCCAATGAGCATGGGTGCAGCACACAGACCTGTATATATCTCCACCACAAAACCAAGCACATGAAACAACTTTTAAAAAATTAAAACACAATGTAGAAAAAACTCACATCATAAAACATCTTTCTCCAGCTGGGTGTGGCACTCAAGAGGCAGAGGAAGGGGCAGAAGATTCTCTGTGGGTCCAAGGCTACCCTAGTCGATATAGTGACTTCCAGGAAAGCCATGTCTCAATAAACATGCAAAAACTTATTTTTTTAGCAAAATGATATGATGTCCCCCTAGTGATCTGGATAGGAGCCCTACACAGGTTTCCTGTAGATAAAATCTGAGCAATCAGCCACTGTGACACCGAAACACTGCCTGGAGGCTTGCATAGATCTCCTAGAAAAGGGGTCCATGATCCCAGACTCCTTGGAAAGTGTTTCTCTGCCATCTGACCTCACTCTGGGTGTACTATAGCTTACCCACAGCACTGCCTTGTCTGTCTGTTGCCTTGTTTGAAAATTACATTAATTCATTTGTGTATTTGGGCGTACACATGCTTCTCAGTGTACATGCCTCCATGGCTAGCGGAGTTATTTTCTCCGTGTACTAATGAGCTTGCTTGTGTGGGCATGTGCATTGCTATGCTCACCACAGTGCACATGGTGCCATCAGGGGGCAGCTCACGGGAGCCATTCTCTCCTTCAGCATATGAGGCCAGGACATCAAACTCAAGTCATCAGGCTTGGTGACAAGGGTCTTTATACCTGCTGAAACATCCTGCGTGCCCTATGTCTGGTTTTACCTGACTCTGATGGACTCACTCACTGCCCCTGTCACCACACTGTCACTGCCATTACAGACAGAAAACAGTACTGTTTTCATTATTACATTCTTCATTGGTTTACACATGTATGTCAAACACATGAACTTGAGAAAACTCACAAAGAATATAATGCTATACAAAGAAAAACATTAGGGAGGATTATCAAGACGGTTCAGAGTAAAAATGCCTGAGCCAAGACTGAGGACTGTAACATGAGGGGGCTGGCTTGTTTGTGTTTTTCTGTCCTGCCCGACCCCCCAGCTATTTAGTCCGAGAGAAAAATCACACTGAGATCTCTATAAGTTATAAAGCTGATTGGCCCATTAGGTCTAGCCTCTTACTGGCTAACCCTCACATCTTGATTAATCTATTTTTCTGATCTATGTTAGCCATGTGGCTCAGTACCTTTTTCAGTGGGGCAGCTCACAACCTGCTGCTTCGGTAGTCTGGACAGGAGTGGGAGGAATCAACTTCCTCCTCCCCAGAATTCTCCTGCTCTCTTTGCATCATTTCCACTTCCTGTCTGGTTTTCCCACCTACACCTCCTGCCTGGCCAATCAGCGCTTTATTTAAAACATGATTGGCAGAATGCAGACAATTCTCCCTCACCAGACCTAGGTTCCATGCCCATTATCCACAGGGTAGAAGGAAAGAATGGGTTCCTGGAAGCATTCTCTGATCTCCATGCTTGCAGAATAGCATGTGCTTGTACACACACACAGACACACACACACACACACACACCAAAACAGAAAACTACATCCTCCCACCATCCTACCACGAGAAGAGGCTTCCTGTCCATCTTCTGGGTCTGATAGCCTTTCCTTCAGAGGCGATGCTGTTGCCATGACTCTCCTTACGAGCTGCCATGTGAACACCTATGGACACAGCTTGACAGCCTAGTGAGAGGGTTGGAAGAATTTGCAGGTTTTACAAAAGAGAAGCACATGACATTCAAAAGATCACAATACAGTTTATTCCAGTGACAAAGCATTGCATATGTCCACCTAGTCAGCAACAGCGGTCTTCAGTGACTTAGCTTCTACAGCAAACAATGCCACATAAGCCTTGTAAGGAACAGATAACCACAGTGCTGTAAGCATTAGTTTGGACCTCCAAAATATATTGAGACAAAAGAGAGGCCAGCCTGAAATAATACTATATGAGCCTAAATTTACTACATTTAAGCTGGTATGCATAGATGAATAATTCTAATATTCAGGACACTCTGGCCCCTGAAAGGTCAAAGCCAACTGATGCTGTGAGACTCAGATGCAAGAAGTCTGAAAAATAACATTTATATTATACACCTTCAGATTTAACTTCTTTTCTCCATTTATTTGTTTGTTTGTTTACTCATTTATTCATATTTGAGATAAAGCCACACTGTTCAGTGCTTGCTGGCCTGGACAGCACTATGTAGAACAGGATGTCCCTGAAATTACAGACTTTTGCCTGCCTCTTCCTCCTGAATGCTGGGACCAAAGTGCATGCCACTATCACCTGCAAACTTTTTTTTAAACATAGGTCTCACATACTCCAGTGGCTTCAGAAATAGATCAGTGGTGGCTACATAAATGACACTATAAAAAGGAAGCGGCGGCCGTGAACCAAACCGTTCAAAATGGTGGTTTTTAACCTGTGTAAATTGTATCTCAATACGGCAAAAATTCTACAGTGCATCTCTGATGTTACTATACATTTCACTGAAACTCTGCCTATAAATCCCAAGACAACTACCATTCCTGTGCTAGCAAGATTCCTTAGAGGTATTTGCAGCCAAGACTGATGAGCTGAGCTCAACTCTTGCAGTACATAGGGTACCAACGCCTACACACTCTCCTCTGACCTCTACATATGCACTGTTGCACGTAGAGCCATTTCCCACCCTGCAACGTGTGTGTGCACACATATGCCAACCCAAAATAAGTTAATAAATAAGTGTAAATATATAGGTTCTTACCCCAGTGTTTGGTAATGGCAATACTCTTACTCCCGATACTAGTCATAGTCTTGACACGCCAGCCCAATGCACTGAGATGAAGTTAATTCTGAGTTACTGTTCCAAAAGTCTGGACTCTTTCCATTCCATCCATTTGTTCTTTATTTTTTGCAAAGGCTATCACAGCACAGTCTAACTGTCCTGTATCTCCAATGTACTCCTGACTAGGCTGGACCTCATGGAATCGTGCTGCTCCAATGTCCTAATTGGCAAGATTACAGGCTTGAACCAAAAGGCTCAGTGTCCATCTCTTAAAAGAAACCAACTAATAGCCTAAGGTAGCATCACTTCTAGATTTTGTCATTTATGTATTTCCCAAAAGACCCCAGAATGCCAATGTCAGTGTTGGCACGAACCCATTTATGGCCAAGAGTTATACACTAACATTGTCTGAGGAATGGAGGAATGTGCAAAGAGAGGCGGTAAGACTAACATCTGAAAGAAGTCAGGGGCTGGGGCTGAGGCTCCGTGGTGGACTGCTGGCCTCGGATGCACAGCTCCCTGGTTTTGATGGGCCAGCCTGACTTCATCTTAAGAACTGATATATCTTTGTTATAAGGTCAGCATAAGTTAACTTCTATTGGTAGCAACTTTCCAGTTGACTATGCTTTAGCCTGTTTCTGGAATCTGACATGCTCCACACTCTATGGAGTTTGACCAATACCTTTATTGTATCCTGATAAGATGTTCTATCAAATAGTTTTGGAATGTTCAGTCAAGTTCCTAAGTAACCAAATGCCTTTAGAAATTCCCCCAATCCTTGAAAATCCCCCAGTGTTGCAGTTTTTTTAAACTAAATAACCCCACTTCTCCTTAAATTCACTTAAAATTGTGTTTGATACAATTTTCTCAAACCCAACTTTAGGGAGATAGCCCTTTCTAACATTAAATAAAGATTGCTTATAGACCAAAGACTGTGGGTAACAGTCTTTCCTCCTTTAGGTGGGATTAACAGTTCCACCCTCAGAAGGGCATAAGCTGGGTATGGCAGCTCGTGCTTGTTATCCCAACAATAAGAAGCAGCAGAGGGAGGCTCTGGAATTTGAGGTCATCCTGAGTTTGAGGCCACCCTAGGGTTAACTCTGACCCTGTCTCAGAATAAGCAAACAAGAAAAACCAGTTGGAAAATAAATACTGGAAACCTTTCCCCACTAGGACATTGATGGAGTAAGGCACAAAACAAAACAATCCCATGCAAACTCAGAATTAAGATTAATAAAAGGGTTATTTATTTAAAAGGAAAAACTTATAGATCACCGTCCTAGACAACAGCCTCCTGCAGGAATAGGAAAAGCGTCTGATAGTCAGAAGCGGAATCCGAAGTAAGCAAGAGAACGAGAGGAGGGCTGCCGCCCGGTTATTTTTAAAGCGAAAGACACCACACCCCAGTGGGCTGGTACCTCAAAGGCTATTGGTTGAAGGAGCAGAAGTAGCTCCCGCAGCAGGACATGTTACACTATGTTACAAACCACACGAGTAAGAAATGCCCAGGATAAAAGGGAGATGGTGGATATTATGAAAATAACCTATAAAGGGTCAGGAGCTGGGGGCGGGGGGGAAGCAGGCTTGCAAGCTCACAAGGAAAATGACGTTTACTGTGCAAAAGCATGAGGCCCTGAGTTCAGTATGGAAGCTTGTACAGTTTTGTTTTTGTTTTTGTTTTTTTTTTTAAAAAAAAAAAAGGTGTCAAGGGTTTGATTGAACAGATGGTCAAAGCATTTGTCAAAAGATGCTCCACTGAAAAAGTGTTTGGAGACTCCTGATATCCTGTGGCGTAGTGATGACGGGATTTTTAAAGCCCAGGGAAATTGCAATGCTAGAGCGGATACACTTGTAAAACCTAGTCCTCCACAACGGAAAGGGCCAGAAGACAAGCCCTTCACTAATCGTATAAGATGCCAAATGTTGAGAAGAGCACTGCAGACGGATCCTACACCTGAATGTTCAATGCCAAGTGCAGAACTTCTAGAAGATACGACAGAAACCAGGGCTCTCCAAGTTCAGCAAAATTGACTTCCCTGACAGGAGTAAACACAGCACATGCCTGCTCATTTCCTGGTGACTTCAATAAGGTTGTTTCTAATCACAAAAGTCCTGCTTCCTCCAAGCCTCACTCCGCACCAAGTTCTCCGCGGCCGCAGACCTCCGAAGGAAGTTATGCAGAGGCACTAGGACCCGGGAATTACAGGGACAGCAGGAACCTCACGGGGCACCGGTTTCTACCGCTCTGGGATCCGACACCGGACCCCATAGCGCCTCCACTTGTAGAGACCGCAGCCCCTCACTCACCATGACACAGATTGTGAGCTCGCCCGGTTCTCTTCACAGCTTCCAGTAGCGGGTGACAGCGCAGCACACGGAACCTCCCTCAGCCAGTGTGCAGACTGCAGCAAGGCGGACCGGAAATGCCCTCGCATACTGACTGGAGGGTGGCTCTGTAGGCGCTGATTTGCCAGTGAAGTCTGAGTGACAGGAGCAGCTCCCTTAGGGACTGAGTGTTGCGAAGCTTCCACACCAGGCACAGAACTGTCCCAGACCTGCAGTTTGGCATTGCAGAACTTGCATCTGGTCTGTAAAATCGTCCCCGTACTATTCTTGCCTGCACTTCCCCTTCTTCCTATTGGGCATACACAGATGTGCAATGGAGCAATCCTCCTGCCTCAAAGCTGGGAGGGCCCGCAGACCACCTAGGTCAACTTTAAACCACCTGCTTGATATTCACAAGGTCTCAGCAATTTCAAAAAGGCATGAGTAGGATTGCTCACAACCAGGACACTTTCCTAACTTTCCGTGTAATGACTGGACTGCTTTTACTTCCGATTACTCATTAGTGTTGGCTTCTGTTAATTAAATGTACATGCCATTATGGAAAACCATGGGTTTTTTTTCCATATCTGGACTGTCCTGGTGATTGCATACAGCTTGAACTCATGAGAGTTTGACTCATGTGACCTTTCTTATCCATCAGATTAAATTATCTAAGGCTATGAATAGATTTGGCTATTGAATGAGACTCTAGCCTGCCTCATTCACCTGCTCCTTGCCCCCAGTTGCAATACCTCTAGTGGGTCACAGGAGTGTGCCAACACGATCTCCAAACTTTTGTTTTTAAAGGAAGGGTCTCACATAATCCAAAGCTTTCAGAATTAGAGAAGCGATGGCTATATATTGTCAAGGTGAGCCCGTTTAAAATGGGAGATTTCGAGGAAGTCAGAAGTTGCAATGTTTGCTGACTCTTGGGATCCCTGTGAGAAGATCATGGTTGAGCTCTGCCAGTAGGCTGTGGTGAGCTGTGTGCATCTGTCATTAAAGAAGGAAGACTGGCGGACCGTGAATGCAGTGAGTTATTGATGATGCACATGGGAACTTCACTCAGGAAGAGTGGGCTTTGCTGGATCCTTCGCAGAAGAGTCTCTACAATAATGTAGTGCTGGAGACCTTCAAAGACCTCATGGCTATTGGCTACTATTGGGAAGATCATGATATTGAAGAGCATTCTCAAAGTTCTAGAAGTCACGGAAGTCAGTTTGAAAGGCATAAAAGAATTCATATGAAAGAGAAGCCCTGGGAAGGTATTCAACATGATGAAGTCAATGCATTTCACAGTCGACTATGAATACATAAAAAAAAACACATACTGGAGAGAAACCCTATGAATGTAATCAGTGTGGTACAGCTTTTACACATCATAGTATTTTTCAAAGGCATAAAAGAACATAAACTGGAAAGAAATCTTACAAATGTAATCAGTGTGGTAAAACCTTTATATATCCCAGTCATCTTCACAGTCCTGAAAGTACACATACTGGAGAGAAATCCTATGAATGCAATCAGTGTCATAAAGTCTTTTTAAGACATAGTTACCTTCAAAAGCATAAAAGAATACATACTGGAGAGCAACCCTTTAAATAAAATTAGTGTCATAAAGCCTTTACACAACATGGGTACCTTCAAAAGCATAAAAGAATGCATAGTGGAGAGAAACCCTATGAATGTAATTGATGTAATAAAGCATATACATATTTCTGTAGTCTATCAATTTGGTAAAGACTTACATATCACAATGATCTTTGAAGGCATAAAAGAACACATACTGGAGAGAAGCCCTATGAATGAGTCAGTGTGGTGATGCCTTTGCAAGTCACAGTAATCTCAGTAATCTTCAAAAACATAAAAGAAGACATATGGTGTGGGAAGTCCTTCTGTATTTGTGTTGCTTCTACTGATTAATAAAGAAGCTGTTTTGACCAATGGCTTAACAGAATATAGCCAGACTGAAATAAATATATATATATGTATGTATGTATATATATATATATATATATATATATATATATATATATATATAGAGAGAGAGAGAGAGAGAGAGAGAGAGAGAGCACAAGTGGAGTCAGAGAGACGCCATGCACCATGTAGCCACTGGGAACAGACAAGCTGAAACTTTGCGGGTAAGCCACAGCCACATGGCGATATACAGATTAATAGAGATGGGTTAGTTCTAGATGTAAGAGCTAGCTAGCAATCCTTAAATGATTGGCCAAGAAGTAATTTAAATAATATAGTTTCTGTGTGATTATTTTGGGGCTGAGCAGCCAGGAACAAACAAGCAGCCTCCTACAACACACAAACTCTAGAGAAACTGTTTGAATGTGATCAGAAGTCTTCAAATTCATAAGAAAATATAATGCACAGAAACCCTATAAACATAGTCAGTGAGGTGATTTTTTTTATTTCATGGTACATTTCTTACAAAAATAAGCTTTTAGTGAACAATCAACTGGTTAAAGCCTTTTTATATTATGGTACTCTTTGAGGAGATGCAGAGAATCTGAAAGTCCATTGTATGAATGATAATACAAACTTAAAGAGATAAATGCATTTGATTATCCTGTTCTCCACAGTGATCTTCAACTCCTTATCTATGAGATTCTAACTTACTAATGATGGGACGGACATGTTAGATAACTCACTGGAAAAGAGCCTACAAAATGCTTTGTACTATTAGGTAAAATGTAGGTTGATTATTTGCTTCCCAGAGGTAATAACTGGCAGGATGTATTAGCGTGTTACTTGGGATCTATAGATAGTCATTATCCAAAGCATCCCCTTTAAGATTATTTGGAAGATAATCCATGGGTATTGCCTGAATTTACATCTAAAAATCTTATAGAGAGTGCTGTTAATGCTCTTACGATGGCTCTTAAAGAAGACATGGAGCAAATAGTTTATATGGAAATTCAACAGACTCCACAAAAAAAGATTGTACCCACCCCGGGTTATACAGCTCAACTGTCTGAACTTGCTGTTACCAACCAGCTTTTATTAGACATCCCCTAACCTGTGACTATTTTAACAGACTCTGCATACTGCACTCAGTTCCTCTACTAGAAACTAACTGCAAGATTTAAATCTACCACACTACTAGTGTTATTTCACAATTATTTCTGTTCCTTCAGACATATACACAAAAATGGACTCAGCATTTTTCCATAACTCATATTCACGCTCATTGTAATTTGCCAGGTCCATAAATGTCCACCAATGTCCAAGTTGATGGACTGGCCTCCTCCTCAACCCTAGTTTTTTCTTTCCATGTCACTCAAGAACCTAACAAATTACTTCATCAAAATGCAAAATCTTGACAGGTATTATTCTCCTTGCTTTGTGAGCAAGCTCAACAAATTATCATGACCCATTCTTCTTATTCTTCTTTTACTCTGCTGTCATCTGTTGGCAGAATGGATCCTCAGTAGTCAAAATCCAACATCATTTGGCAAATAGATATTACTCATATTATAGAATGTGGCCATTTATGTTCACATAACAGTCGATACCTTTTCAAATATGATCATTGCTTCTTCTCACATAGGTGAAACGACCTCAGGTATCATTAGTAATTTGTTATACAACTTTTAGGACTACCACAATAATAAAAACTAATAGCCCTGTTTATTGCAGCAAATGCTTTAGAGAATTATGTAGCTTACAGAATATTAATCATGTTTCATGTTACTTAAGTCCCTTACAATCCTCAGGTCAAACTATTAAGGAACAACAAACACTTAACGACAAAACTTAAAATAAAGAGAGTGTGTAAGCACTCATCAAAATCCCCACACTATGCTGCATCTACCTATCTCAACCTCAATTTTTTTTTTATTTTAAAGGATAATGCTTCTAGTTCTGCCCAAAAGCATTTTACCCTAACGGAGACAGAGAATATGTTAAATGGAAAAATCTAGAGACAAAACAAAGAAATTAACATCAGAGCAAGGTTATGCTTGTGTCTTTCCAGAAATGAACAGACCCAAATGACTCCAGTTAAAACGTAACTTTCAAGGATAGCACCTAGAGATCACTGTACTAATGAAGCAAAGATATAGCCAGGCGATGACACACATCTTTAATCCAAGCACTCAGGAGGAAGAGTGCATTCTGTGAGTTCAGGGCCTTTCCTGTTCTCACTATGCCAACCATGGGAGTGTGGGGCAAAGCTTCCTTGACATGGATCCCTAGGAATTGTCTAGAGCTGCAGTGGACATCCTTGGAAGAGGGGGGCACAGATTCATTGACGTGACCTCCCCGGACCTGTGCATCCCTGGGGAGGTCAGTTGTGGAAGAGTAGGTTCATCTTCCCAGCCTAGCAGGCACTGCGGAGGCCAGGTGTGGAAGAAGCAGCACAGGCCATTCAAGGATGAGTGGGCACAGATTCTATGGCCTAGTTACCCAGGCATGACTGTCCACTGGGAGGCCAGCCATGGCATAGGAAGCATAGCTTCCCTAGCCTGGTACCACAAGCTGTGGCCTGTTCTGGCGAGACCAGCTGCGGAAGAGGAGGGTGCGGCTTCCCCAGCAAGGCTCCACAGGCATTCTCCAGCTCTGTGGTTGCCAGACAAGTAAAAGGGAGAAGATCTTCCCCAGCCTGGCTCCTTAGTGCCTGTCCAGCCCTGCTGAGGTCAGACTTAGAAGAGGGGGCACAGTTTCCCCAGGCTGGTTCTCCACAGCTAGTTAGGCTCTGGAGATGCCAGCCAAGGAAGAGAAGGTGCAGCTTCCCTGGCCTGGCAAACCAGACCCTTTGGAGTCCAGCCATGGTAGATTGGGGATCCGTTTCCCTAAATTGACTACTCACCACCTATCCGGTCCTGTAGACACAAACCTTGCAAGAAGGGGCACATATTAACACTCCTGGATCCCAGTCATGTTGATCCATGTAGAGCCAGACAACAGAAGCTAGATAGACTTGCTCAGAGGTACTCACCGCAGATATACAGGCAAAGATAGTGTCACCAGAAAGACATTCTGAGGTGGCATGGGGCTCTGTGTGTTTCACAATATACTTCTCCCTTGGTGTACAGGGTCGTAAAACGGCTCCATGTGGACAGACAGGAA